ACTTCAATTTGGAGCCCTCGATCCTCCTTCAGATTGGCATGTCTCAACGTACGCACATTGCTACAGATCGGTCAAGAGGCATCACTTGCCCGAACATTAGAGACCCTCTCGATCGATATCTGCTGCTTATCGGAGACCCGCCTGCAATACTCGAGCTCACTGCTCACTTTGCGGTCCACTTCAGGTGACACCAGCAGCACTTTCTCATTGTGGCTATCCGGTGACGATGCAGCTTCGAGCACCGGCCAAGCTGGTGTTGGTATTGCCCTGAGTCCCCGGGCTGAAGCTACTCTGTTTGATTGGATTCCTATCAGTAGCCGGATGTGTGCGGTCCGATTGGCTGGCTCGTTCAAAACTTCGAAGTCGCGTGGGACTAACAGGTGTCTATTCGTTATCGCTGCCTATGCACCGACAAACTGTAGCGATGACTCGGTAAAAGACGACTTCTATCGTCAACTGAACGAGCTCCTTAGCCACAGAAGAAGCTCGGACACTGTAGTGCTGGCTGGGGATCTGAACGCTCAAGTTGGAAAATTATCCACAGATGAGCTGCATCTGGGCGGCCAACATGGTATAGGCTCCCGTAATGATAACGGTGAGCGGTTACTTCATTTGTGTGAGGATGCTCGCTTATTTCCTGCGAGCACTAATTTCAGAAACAGCACTCGCCGGAGGATGACTTGGCGCCCACCAGCCTCGAACCAGCTATAGACGCAAATCGATCACATTGCTATCAGTTACCGCTGGAGAGGCTGCGTCCAGAACTGTCGCTCGATTTGGAGCACAGGTGTGGACACCGACCATGCACTTATATGTGCTGACCTGCGGATGCGCTTTGGCGGACGCCCACGACGACGTTGTGAGCGCATTGACACCAGCGAACTGGCGAAGCCAGCTGTTCTGAATGCCTATCAAAGTACGGTCATGCGAGTTGGATAAACGCTCACTGGATGCAATTGAAGGCCACTGGTCTCATATTCACCAGACCTTACTAGCAGCAGGAAAATCCTCATGTGGTATGTCTAATCGCCAACATGGACATTGGGTCTCTTCACAGTCTCTGGAACTTATAGATGCTCGCCGTCATATTCCGGCTGGAAGCGAACACAATGAAACTCGCAAAGAGCTCCGGGCAAAACTCCGTGTTAGCCTGAAGAGAGACCGCGAATCCTGGTGGTCTCATCGTGCATCAGAGATGGAAATGGCCGCTGTCCTTGTTAACCATCGTAAGTTATTCCGTCTGATACGGAAACGGGCAGCAGGAGACCTGGTGTTAGTGAAACTATACGTGACGAGAGTGGACAGCCTATCCACAACTTATCAAAACGCTTGGAGCGTTGGGCTGAGCACTTTAAAAGGCAATTTAATCGGTCGGAATGGTTAGATTTCTCGCCGGCCACTGATCGCCCCGCTCCCTGGGCTGTCACTTTGGATCCACCCTCTCGCTCAGAAGTCGAACGTGAGATCGCACTGTTGAAGTTAAATAAAGCCGCGGGACCTGATGATCTTCCTCCAGCCCTCTTCAAATTCGGAGGACCTGCTCTTGTGGATGATTTACACGAGTTACTAGTGAAACTGTGGGAGCAGGAAACTGTCCCAACCGATTGGAGCCGCTCCATCATAGTCCCAATTTTCAAGGGTGGCTCACGATCGGAATGCGGCAGCCATAGAGGAATCAGTCTGATCTCCATCGCCTCCAAATTGTTTGCCTCTGTCATCCTTCACAGACTGACTGGCACTCGTGAAAGCCAGATTCGTGAAGAGCAAGCTGGATTTCGTCGAGGTCGTGGTTGCATTGACCACATCTTCACCTTGCGTCAGTTGTTGGAGCACCGTCACATATATTGGCGGCCCACCGTTGTCGTGTTCCTCGATATCAAAGGTGCATTCGATTCGGTGGATAGACATGCACTTTGGGACTGTCTACTCAGGAAAGCTGTACCTGAGAAATATGTGAATATTATCCGAGCATTATATGCGCGTAGCACGGGCAGAGTGAGGGCTTACGGCAAGTTGTCGTCGCCCTTTAATATCTCCAGCGGCGTGAGACAAGGATGTCCGCTGTCACCTTTCCTCTTCAACTTTGCTGTTGACGAAGTCATGGAAATCGCGTTCACAGGACACGACTTTGAAGGTGTGGATCTGCTCCCAGGAGAACGACTTCTTGACTTGGAGTATGCTGATGATATTGCCCTAATCTGTGACAGCTCACAACGTGCCAAGCGGCACTGGACAGATTAGCACTAGCTGTCCGTCACTTCGGGCTTTGCTTCGCACCCTCGAAGTGCAAAGCGTTTCTCCATGATTGGTCTGGACCGCCTCCTACGCTGAACTTTGGTGGGGATCAGCTAGAAGTCGTTCAAAAATTCAACTACCTGGGAAGTTGTATCAGCGCCCGTGCGATTAAGGATGAGATCACGAACCGTATATCAAAAGCTCGAGGCGCTTTTGCTAACCTTCGCCATTTATGGCGCCGGCGCGACATCACTCTTGCCCTGAAGGTTAGAGTGTACAATGCAGCGGTACGTTCGACCCTACTGTTCGGTTGTGAAACCTGACCCCTTAAAGCAGCGGACATGAAGAGGCTAGTTACGTTCGACCACCGGTGCCTTCGTAATTTAGCTCACATCTGGTGGGAACACCGCGTTAGCAACGAGCGTGTTCGACGTCTTGTTTACGGCACAGGAAAAGGAACTGAACCGCTCAGCACCGTTATTTCACGCACCAGGCTCCGATGGCTGGGCCACATGTTGCTCATGCCAGCCCACCGACTCCCGCGACGTGCGTTGTTTGCGCGCCGGGGGTGTGGATGGAAGAAGAGGAGAGGTGGCCAAGCGATGACTTAGTCGAGAGGAATGAAGGCCCTCACTTCTGAGCTGGCCTCGGTTGGAGCGTCTCGGCTCCCTGGTTGGGGTCCGAAAGACGATGAACACGTTTGGTTGGACACACTTGCTGATATGACTAGGAGCCGACCTCAGTGGCGTTCGTGCTGTGAGTTTCTTTGTCCCATCCCATCCCTCTTAGTCTCCCCCTCCAACCACGATCTCATTATTTAGCCTTATATAATTTTGCATAGTAATTTTTTTTGATGCACAGTAGCCGGTTTTTGACTTACCGGAACGATGCCCATCCGTTACCGGTAGTTCAGCCGGCTTGCACCAGTTGCATTTTTTCTCCTTTTTCCTATGTATTGCAGCACAGTAGCTGAGGTATTCCCCACCTCTAGCTAACGTGTATGTTGGTGATGATGATGATGATGTGTAATATATTCTTGAGAGTACCAAAGCTGACTTCGTCCTTGCTTCACCAGGAAGCAATCCACAACTTTGCGGGTCACTTCATTTTCAAATGTCCAAAAAGGATATGATTATTCTTTGCTTTGACGCTCCCACGGCTGGCTTCTGATTCTTCACTTACAACAGAATATGCTGCTCTATTACGAAGTGATCTGCTTCGTGTGCGCCAGTTAGCTAGATATTCCCTTGTACTCGCCTGAGGACATCAGACTCATTATTATGATCACCGAGTTTAGAGCAAATCAGCACAACCAAGGTATTTGACATATCTACACAGCCATACATCCTTTGTTGACCGATCGAAGAATTTCCACAGAGCGGTCCGTCTCCTTGGTCTTGGATAATTTCTACGGTTACTTCACATGTAGATTGGCTGGCGGAATCGATATTTTACTGTACACTTCCCTCGCCTCAAACCATCCACCATGATTTGCCAAGGGAGGAGAACGCTGTGTAAATCCTTCCGTTCCATATTCAATCAAGTGCGTCAAGCTTACTACTAATCCGTACACTCTAGAACCACGGATGACTGAATGCTTCGGGGGTGACGCACCTTCTATTATGTACCTACACTTACCAGCCATGTATATACTCTTACTTTGCCACTCTCGATTCTCTATGTTTTCTTTTTACAGGCTGATTGATATAAGGTTTCTATCTTGTACTCCAAAGGTCACCGTCCGTTCAACTCGATTATACGGTTGTTAAAGCCTAGCCCATTAAGTCGACAGAGATAAAGAGACTAATCACGTTCGATCATCGCTGCCTTCGCAGCTTAGCTCATGTCTGGTGCGAGTACCGTGTGAGCAGTGAACGTGTTCGGCGTTGCGTATTTGGCGCAGGAAGAGCGAGTGAATCGCTCAGCACCATTATCTCACGCACCAGGCTCCGATGGCTGGGTCACCTGTTGCGCATGCCAGCATACCGACTCGCGCGAAGTGCATTGTTTGCGCGCCCCGGGTGTAGGTGGAAGAGGAGAAGGGGAGGCCCAGCGATGACTTGGTCTAGAGAAATAACAATCCTCCCTTCTAACTTGGCGTCGGTTGGTGCATCCCGACTGCCTGGCTGGTGTCCTAAGGACGATGGACACGTTTGGTTGGACACACTTGATATGTCAAAGGGCTGGTCCCAGTGGCTTTTGTTTCTTTGTCTATCCATTTGCCTTTAGATTCCGTTTCTAATTCCGATCTCAAACGAAATGCGTAATATAATATTAAACATTATATCACTAGCTTTTTTGTAGTGTATTTTTTCAGTATCTTACCTTTTTGTGTTGAGGCACTTTAAGCTGAAGTGTGTTTCTCACCCTCAGCTAACGTGCATCGATGATGATGATGGTTCGAATCTGCGTGTGTGTGGCGATTTCGCTTTATCGCTATCTCGCACCCGACTGGTAGTAATTGCGTGGTAGCGGAGCGTCAGTACTGTGTGGCGGCATACTCCTGCTGTCTCATCTTTTCACAGGACCTGCGCACATGGACACTGTAAGTATCCGTTAACTCGACAAACCACGCAAACCACCCAATGGGATATATTTTTGCTTATGTTGTTGGCTCTGCTTGCACCGCCTTCAATTCGCTTGTGGTCAGTTAGCATACTTTCGCAACATTTTCCGACCTATGCTGTTTTCTCTACTCGTTTGTCGTGCTGTGCTTGCCTGTGCTGCATTCCCACTCTATTGTTCACATTCTCTTTCGTTTTTCAGCCCATTGATTCTACTTCAACTCTTAGTCGAATCGTCGCAAAATACACATGTCAAATCCGACAGTTGCACTTGATCCTACGAAACCCACTACTTTTAGCGCTGTTTTTAAACATGTTTCCCCTCCAACTGCAGTGGACAACTGTCTCTTTTGTAATCTCTTACACCCAAAATTCAAAAACTTGGTTGTTGTCAGGGGATGTTTCCTTGATGTTTATTCTCTAAGAACCAGGTACCTCCGGGTCTTTTTGTCCACCATTCACTGCTTTAGTCATGACGGTGAGAAACGTTTGAATTGGATGAGCACGAGCTGTGTTTATGATGAGGTTGTTGATATTGTGTCTGTTCGGTTTATCGGAGACAAACTTGATTCACTTCTAATAAGTTTTGCTGAGGCGAAGGTACATACTTTCGTTTCTTAAACCTTGGGCTCAGGTTGCAGTAATGGGGTTTGATCCAATTCAATACGAGCTCAAAACGTTATCTCTACACAACTATGAATTCGAAAACCTCAAGGTATGTCACTTCGGACTTGCGCTATTTCAATATACTGCACTTTGTCCACTTTCTTGAAGTTTTTATACATGTTAATCCACATTCAAATCATTGGTGCTGTACTTCATTTATCCGAAATTTCTTTTTTTTCTTGTGCTTCGATTGTGTCCGGCAGAAAGTCAAATCTCCAAGGGCGACTCATTATTTCAAGGGGAAAACAATTTGAGGCAATGATATTTAGCGAAAGCAGAGTGGTTTTAAGAACATCCGCGTCCACCGTTCCCTTTTTCGGTAGCTGCTACTGCAACACGCTTCTGCTTCCAGGCGTTGACTGCTAATTTTGGCTAGGATTTGGAACTAGCAGAGGACGAGATCGGTTCAACTAGAATCGCATAAAAATTTTCAAAGCTCATCGAGCTTTAGATGGGTTTCAGAGATTTAGCATCGAGCTCCTTCCAGGTAATCTCGCAACCGGCTTGGATTATGTTGGTGCTACCGCCTAGCTCCGTGGCTGCTCTCATAACATGCAATTGGTCCTTGTCTGACTGGTGTTTAAAGCGTCTAGGTGTGATATGTGGCTTGCTTTCTACGAGTGTAAATAGGTGTTACAAGATTAGCAAACATCCCTTCCTCAGCGCACCATCAAAGATACACATCTCGAACACGTGACTAATTGTGTCTACCAGGGGAGTTGAATTTCTGCCGACGGTATTAGTGGGGATGAGGTATTCATTTGTATCGCTAAGACCCAATCGGTTTCTGCCAAGTGGGGACATTTGTTCGCGCTATACTGTTGTATGAATGCGAATCCTTCGTCATCTCTTTAGATTACGTGCGTAGGCCTTCGACCTTTGATAGTGGCTGTTCGCGAAGGATCGCTCATGCACAGTGGTAACACTGAGTGCGCGACGATGATGTTAGCCACCGCATCTTAAGCCTCATTGTGAGCTTGCTCTACGACGCCAATTGAAATGGATTTGTCGAAACAATAAGGCATTTGTCTCGTAATCCATAGATCACCTGTTCGAGTCTGAGTAGGTACTAGTGATCCTTGCAGTATACCTAGCCCACCCGCGACTGGTCCTGGTCGCGTGGTAGTGAAGTGTTGGTGCGGTATGCCGACGTACTGCTGATGTCTTATCTCTCATGTCCTACCTACTTGGTAGTTTTTCATGGCTACGCAAACGCTGGGATTGGGTACTGTATCGGCAAATCGCTAGCATAATTTACCGATCCCATGTGGACTGGAATATCGCGATGTCGGCTGCACGTACACAAGTTTGCACCTGTTGCCCAGACTCCTGAGCCACTCCATCATGTCAATGTCGTGAGAAAATAGCATGAACTTTTTGTCAGCTTCTTTGCCAGTACTCTCGAGATCGGCCACACTATCTGCTCGTCTGGCTACTTTTTCCCTGATCATTTGGTGTAAGGATGAAGTGTCCTTTGATACGCTTGTGAATTGTCATGCCTTTCTCTAAATTGTGCCGAGTGATGTTCTGATGTCACTGACCTTGCCTCCGCGCTAATTCTCTGTCTTATAATGAAGCTATTAGCCGATCTTCATGCAACCCGACTAAGTGAAGATCAGATTGGCTCCCATCCCAGCAAAGGGTGCATAGACTGCATTTTTATGCCTCAACAGGTTCTTGCGCATCATGCTTATGAACAACCCACCGAGATGTTTCTTGGTGTTGAAGGTTGCTTTTGCTTCATCTGACAATAGCGGCTTTGGCGACGCTTTGAATGATGTGCCTGGAAATTGTTTCCATTCTCGAATCCTTGTATCAGAACTTCCTGATTGGTATACAGGTTTGTGCTAAACATTTTCTGTGTTCTTGGTATACACTGCTCGGCCTTGTCTCTTTATTTTCCCGGAATATAATTGGTCAGCAGGTTCAATAGACCTATCCAAGATTCCTGATAAATATTGAACCATTGTAATTCGCTTCGTAAGGAGCAGAACGCAGAACTGCGTGGCAGCAGTATGCAACGCGGCATGGCGATCGTCCCGGGTTTCCCCAATGCCCGATGCTTATGATTCGTGTGTAACCCAATGTAACCTCTGTACGCACTTTCCTCGAGAAGACATAGTGGCACAACAGCAGAAAATGACAAGAACTTGCATTGCTAATTATAAACCACGATATACATTCGCGAAAAGAATTTTACCGCTCCACACTTCCGCTAGCCTAATAAACTCAGTCACTAGAACAGTCAACGCCGTACAGATTCGATCTACTTCCATATTTCAGTGGGTTTTGTTATCGTGCGATTTTGCTGACACCTACCAATCCTCTTCGTCACTGACATTAGGGAAAAGAACAGCGTCACTAACTACACAGATGCATCGTGTCGAGTAGAGCCTGTAAGCACCATTATGGTCAATTTTGTCACGCAAGGTTAGGAAGACGCGACCTCTATGCACATTCTCTTTGCACTTCTCAATCAGGATGCCGATTTTCAACCTCGAAGTTCCGAAAAATCAAGCACAGTAGCGCTAGGTAGAACTCGGTAGTCAAGGAGATTGAATGGTCCAACCAGCACAGGCGGTCCACAGTGCACATATATTCACGCGATACGCCAGACGACGGATATCAGCATCTCTCACCGGATTGCCCTTCGAGAAGCGAACGGCGCACCTTAGATATTGACTGTATTGGAGAAGCGTTCATAATAGTATTGACATGCTGGCTCATACGTTAGTGGGGACCGTATTGCAACGTCGTCTAAAACGATCCTGAATGTCAATTGATACTGTGTGGCGGCCATGGATAAACGAAGCGTTGGAAAACCTCGGATGCCGAGTATTCGCAAGTGATCTATCCCGTTATAAACGACCCGCATATACTTATGAGTAATGGCTTTTGATGTCATTTACGGGTAGCGCACTTCACCGCCAGTTCCCAGTCGGCCGGTGGCCGAGTGGTCTGCACGTTTGCTTTGCAACCATAAGGTCACCGGTTCGAATCCGCGTAGAGCTGGGCGTCCTCGCGGTATACTCAGCCCGCGCGCGACTGGTGGTGGTCGCGCGGCAGCGAAGCGCCGCTACGGCGTACAGCTGACACACTATACTACTACTACACTACTAGTTCGATAGTTCCTGTAAAACTTGAAAGGAACCGGACGGCTGTTTTGTTATACTGGGGCTCGTCAGTAGTGCACGTCCCTTGGCTCCGCCGGGAACCGAACCCATGATCTATCGACGCCACTAGACCATGAATGACGACGGTGGACCGTCGTAAGGAGTGGGGATTTCAGTTAAACAATACCTAAATGCTAGGTCCTATCCAGCTGCTGTACAGGATGTCGCAACTCTAGCGACCAGTCTAGTCTTCTGCGAAGTGACACTAGAGGATGCGATACGCTATATCGCAATTTGCTTGTCAGCCCTATCCATCTGCCATACTGTATCGTTGTAAACCCTCGCCTTAAGCAATATGCTCACTTCCCGCCGTCGCCACCACTGACTTGCACTTTGAAAAGTCACACGAGCCTCATCAGTGCTCGCAGTAGCGAATTTGCTGATATGACCGCTAGAGTCGATGCAGCGGCCCAGATGAGTAACTCAAATAACCACTTCAGTGATGATGAGAAATAACGGTGAGTCTGTCTACTCCTATCACAATACTGCATACTTTAAAGATCCAGTGTACATGCCAGTACATGCAACGCTACGCATCAGCCAGTTCGGCAACGTTTGCATGGCATCTACGTCCAGCGCGAAGAGAGCTATCTTATTCGCATACTCTCTAGGTTTAATAGTCGGTCGTCCAGCATCACATCGACACCATTAGAAGTGGGAGGAGGCAGGAATGAGTTACTATAATTTCGATCGCCAACTTGGAGAGAAATGGGAAACACGGCAGTTCTGCTGGGATCCCTTTACGGTGACGAACTCAGGGAAGAATTTATCGTAGGCCTCTGATCGATCACGGGGCTGGGGTGTAGAACTTTTACAGTAGAATTATCTTTTCTGTAGATTCTCCAGCAATATACATTTCCGTAAACAGTTATGGTCAAATGAATCATGAGTAGACCACAAGTGACTAAGACACTACCAAAGTGTACTGTTTTAAGTACCATGATGCCAAAGCACCTGTTGAAAAGCAAATGCTTGGTCGGTATTTCGAGTGTGCTCCAACTACGATGAAAAAGCATGAAATAATAATCAGATAGCTTATCATTCTGGCTATCTTTGGACGAAATGGCAAACTGTTGTAAAAACATAGCGATTGCAGTTCACCGCGTTGGCTGCCTCTGGTCGCTCTGTTCACCCACTCATAACTTGTTCAACTGATACTCTACATTCATCGCTTCCGAAGTTGACAGGGGTGGAGATGACGGCAACCACTAAAATGGCCAAGTTAAGTTAGGTCGTCTAGTTACGATAAGTATCTTTGTATTTTCGAGCTGGGTTCCATTCAAAAACAACGGCTGGTCCCTTTGAAACTTATTATTCGATTTCATTTTTGGGTTATAAAACCAATATTTCCCTGTGCCGTCTACTTTTACACAGACTGATGTAGCCAGGATATTTTTATTTATCTTACTTAAGGTGTATCAACCGACTGCTTGTTTACTACTAACTTGTATGGTTATACCAGTTTATGTTTACTGGTTTCGGGTGATTTTATGGCGCATTTCTTTCAACTGCCGTGTTATCGTCTACCAGACATTTTTAATCTACTTTATATCGGCCTTGCACCCTTTTGGTTTCACAAAACGGATGATATACACCGATTTTGGCTTGTCGGGACCGTGTTTTTTAAGTGCATTTACTCACTAGCTGACAGAGGCATGGGGGGGGGGTGGAGCGTTCCCCCCGGGGCGACATGTGACAGGAGTCAGTATCTTTAGTACGGATGGTTGTTGGATACCAGGTGTAAAGGGAAAAATTCCCAGATAAGGCGATAGTTGCACATTACAGCATTGTTCTGGATAACACATTTACGCCATCTGTCACACCTGCTTGTCTTCTGTTCCATCTTGCTTTTGTACACATCTGTCCCGTTACACATCGCCCCATCCCCATTGCACTTGCTCGTGAACGTAATGCATTGCTACTCATAAGGGGTTTCACGGAGGCCATGTTATTGCAAGGAGTTCTGTGGATCCATTGGAGCGCCTGCGTGACCTTGCCTGCTGACTGGCCTTACTGATCTTCATCGACACCACCAGCAAGAGTGCAGAGCAAATTATGAAATGGTTTGAGAAAATTGGAGAAGGACGGAATTCAGACTGATGACTGCGGTGAACAGGCATTTGACAGTGCTGATGTTATGGCAGGCTATCGATCAGGTGTCCAGAAACGCATCTGCGAGATCAACCTAGGAGCTATGTTTGTGCTATGCGGAAACCGTTCCCTTAATCGGTCTTGTGTACATGCAGCTTCTTCAGTGATTCACTCTGATATCTTTTACTACAATGGGCTGGCTATTTTCGTTCTTTTCAATATTTGCATATCACTGGAACAACTTGATTCGGCTGACCGGTCTAACCATCAAGCGCGCTGTGGAAACTAGCTGGAGTAGTCGAGCAGACAATGTAAAATTGTGGTGAAAAGATGCTCGTAAAGAGAGAAAGCAACCACAGGATCAGATGCATATTTATTTCTCATCTCAGTACTATCGTCTCCGTTTATCTCGTTTCCGAGCCTTTAGATATCTGCTCACCTAGAAACCAATGATGTGCAGATATATGTTCAAACAAAAGGGATGAACCTGCAGCAAAATTCTGTCAACCTCACAGCGTTAAAAGTTTACCTTCTTTAGAATTGAAAGAAGTTGGTAGCTAGTGCAATGAATGAATTCAAAGCTTTGCTCTAAGTTTGCGATTAGTACGGAGCGTCGGATCCGCCAAGACAGACGAATGGATAATAAACTTTTGTGTGATACATCGATGGGATTTAATGCTGAGTTGGAATAGGAAATACTGTCTCTCATAGACAGCTTAACTTACGAAATATGTCGTACATTTCTGAAATCTCATGAATTTGCAAATTATATACTTTCCTTACACCGTCTAATCTGCTTGATGCTAACTATGATTGTCCGTATAGCGAATTTGAGGAAGATACGGAAAAAGAGAGTTTTTTCGGAGAGGCGATTGTTGCGGTGTTTTGTGAAAACTTCAGGTGACGACAAAATCAGTGGACCGTTTTAACTTCTGAGCTTCATACAGAAGTATCACAGTGGGGAATCTGCGCAGCATATTGTGATCTTGCTGTACATCTTTCTTACACTAGCTATTGGCATTGTCAGCTGTGAACGCTCAAAATGATAGCTTGGAAAGTACTTGGAACCGATCGAGAACTCATGATTTCAGAAACGTTTGAAAACAACCGGTTGGTATAGTTTGTGGGCAACGTTTTGCCTTTGACACGAAAGCTTCGTCAGGCCGAATGAACCAGTCGATGAGTGGATTAGCACTTTTAGCAAACTGGAATGATAATCGCGACGAATGTGATGTAGGCAGAGGGCCAATCGCGTTACAGATCAACGCATCACTCCGGATAGTGCTTGGAACGGTCACAAGTGGTCCACGTTAGAAGGTAACAGAAGTAAGCCCTGATAACGAGGGGTGCGGGGATGATGTCGTGTTCATTCTCTGCCCTGGATCCATCAACCGGCGGTCCTCAGATTGCTCGGGTTAAGACAGCTTGCCACACGTCCGAAAGCTCTGCCCCGTCCATCCTGTTAACGCGTCTGTTCAGCTTGCTACTCCCAGCCGCCTCAATAGTCAGTTTTTGGGGCGTTGATCGTAACCCCTTTCTAACGATTTCGACGTTATCCTAGTCGGTCTCATGCCCTGTATGTATCGCGTGCATCTCTACTGTCGAGCTCATTAGTAGTGTCATATATTCCAACTCCTTTCTCGGTGGCCGTGTTATGCGTCTCTTGTGTTCTACTATCCTTGTGCATAGCTCTCTCATGGTTTGGCCGATGTACACGTTTCCGCAGTTGTAACTAATTTTTTAGACGCAATTGGTTGTCTTATCAACGGGAAACGGGTTTTTCAAGTGCACCAGTGTCCAAGGAAGCGTTTGGCATTTTGGAAAACTACTGTGATGTTTTCTTAGTCTAGGACCCTCCGGATGGCCTCCGAATTTTCATCTTTCTAAGGCATACCTGCCGTCTCAATCCACTCCGTAGTACGTCGTATATGAGGATTTAAAATCCGGTGCAACTTGCGTTTCACTAACCGCTTCTGGTATCCACTACTAGACAATTGGTTCATTGCTTATTTCCGGGCGACCATCCTATCTTCTTCCTCTGTGCGCAGGGTCTGTGCTCTGTGAAACAGAAGTGAGGATTCCAGCATACACATGCTTTGGGCGACCTGAATTATAGTGGAGTACACCATCTGTGTCCATCGGCTTACGATATATCGTCGTTTTTAGACTACCCCCATTCCTGTGAACCAAGTAGTCAAGTAATAGCAATGTGCCACTGCACGATTTCAGTTCCATAGTGAAACTTATAGTCTCCGCAGAACGTTCAAGCGGTTCAGAAACTCGTATTTCTTGCCCCGTTTTGTGATCACATAGGTGCCATTCACGTAGCGCCACCAGATTTTCGGTGAGCTACAAGAGTCAGTCAGCGCTCTCTAAAAACAAACTTATAAAGAGCTACCTTCTATCAGCAATGAACCAGACAAGGTTCACGGACTTCGAATTTCTCTCCTTAGAACAGAACTTGCTTTTGGACTGAATTTTGTTAATTTTCTCGATAATTTTGCACGAATATTGTGACAATGCAGATGCAAGCACTTATAAGAGCACTCTAAAATTAGATCTTTTTTGTTCTATAAAGCGTAATATTGAAGGTGAGTTTTAAATGTGAGGGTTTTTGGATTTACAACTACAAGGGGGGATCGAAAATCTTATGACCGCTCTGGGCAACAAAATCCGATTCTACGCCACCGCTTGCTGGCAGTTTCGGTAGCTTGGACTTCGGGGTAGTACTTTTTCTATTATTTCGTTCTACTTATTTACAGCCAGTAGTTCTGCCTTAAACTGGTTTCTAGCTACCTTCGACGTTGACTGGTGCCTCACCCTCAGCTTTTGTAGCACTCGGTGCAACTTGCATTTTCACCTTATATTATGTTACATCGTTGTTAATAGATTTAGCATACTGTAATGAGTGTTTATAACCTATTATTTACTTATACAGTCTGGACGCATTCAGTTCTCAAGACTTCCAATCCTTCGAGTTGACCCACTTCAACGTTGCGCTGTTCTGTTGGTCTACGACCGTCATCTGGCCGTCTTGCCGTTCAGGCGTTCCGAGTCGTTAGCAATGATCGACAAAACGTCCTCTAAGACAGCAGGAAATACGAAAAGTGCTATTTCTTGGGAGAGGCGTGCGACTGCACCACTCTTGTCCACCTTCACTACCTGCCTGAGTACCTCAACTGGCGAAAAAATCACTAACGTCATCGACATGCAATTTCTCCATGGCTTTTACGAACCAACCCTGTTGGTTTTGTATGAACCCATTGGTACTTGGGCTGGGTAAGAAATTTGCGCTTTGGTGCTCACACAGTTCACATTTTAGCAGGGTTTCAGCACGCAGGGACACTTGCTGCATCGTAGCCCTTTCATTTAATCTTCAAAAGCGGACAAATCCTGTGATTTGGTTCCAGGAATCGTTACCGTATGATTGCATGTACGTGCATGCTGTGCCACAGCCAGTCGGTAAGTTAACAAATCAGCTTTTAGAAATGGGTAATATTTCAAATTTTTCCTCGCTTTACTTTTATGTAGCATATTTGCCACGTGCCATTTCACGTTGTTCCTACGTTCACATCTTCATCTCTACTTTGCCATTTTAACCTCAGATATTCCTTTTCCTTCTGTTTTTACACCTTCTACTCTATACCATGGGGATATTGCCTTGATGGCAACTGTGTCTTCCATAATCTTTCATCTGTTGCATGCCTAAAGCGTTGTTTACTCTAACCAGCGCAATGTCAATAATAACGTAATTAGAACTTTGACACACCGCTACACGAATCTGACATACAACCAACCGCGCTATGCACCCGATTAAGTAGGGTTATTTTATCAAACGACCACAATTTCGCATACCTTCGAATAGATGCACTCGTCAATCGATTGAATCTGGTCAGCTGAACGATTTGTCAAGTTTCACTGACATCCGGTATGGTTGGGCCTGGAATGTTTATGCGATTTTTGTCCCGTACTTGCTGATCGAGGTGCCACACCCCACCACTAGCTCCTCTGCCTGCGTTTATCCTGATGTCTATCTATTTAAACCATTTGCATTTGTAACAAATATCCAGCTGGCTCCCAAGAACGTTTTAGCCGATGAATCGCATCGGCCACTATGCTGTGTTTTTCCACACACACACACACACACACACACACGGTACATCCTGACGCCATGTTGCGCCTATCCCTTTCGCAATGTCTTCGTTGTTTCTCGGCTTACCTTGTTCCCTACATCACATGAATTTTAATGAATTCGCTAATCGTATGTGGCGCGGGTAAGATAACTCATAGACTTCACGAAATTGATTTCCCGGCAAAATTCATCATCTATAAGCCTACACAAGACTCTCCTTTCATCCGGTAGACCTTGCTTTCGTTAAACCGCCTTACCTTCAAGTAATTTTATCCTTCTTAGACGGCTGAACGGATCGAATAACCACACACGTCGCTGCGACACTTGCTCGTGCCGACCTCTTGAACGGGCTTCAGCCCGGACGCGCAACAGCCGACCAAATGTGGAACACAAGTGCGATATGAGTGGCTGGCGAACTCGAATGAGCGTTAACTGAGTGAACGAGGGCCATACCTTGACGCGAACAGACGGCCGAATATACTAAACCTAGGCAAACCAGTCAAGCGGAATTTGTTCACATTGGCTGAGGCCAGGACGCCGAGGATGGGAGGCGGAGGTCATGGTTTCCATAGTTAGGATATGGTATACCTTTAGCCAGAACCCTTCATCATAGAATACAGTCTACCGAATCCTAGCTTTTGGATTGTGCGCTTGGCCTAGTGGACCGTAAAGAGCTGTACCACAGCCGTAACAACACGTATCCCATCTACCCGCGCACAGTAATATCATATAGTACAACGTTTCTTACTGCAGTCGGATGTCAAATGATCCAAATCGCTTGTAGAAGTGACGAGGGTAATGTTTTGTCTAGGACCACGGTATCCTTAACGACAGAGCTAAGCTAAAGCTAAACAGGTACCGGACACACATGATAACACTGGGGATTGTAATAGCACATTTAGACTTTACGCACACTTTTTCCGGGCGCAGGCTTTTTCCCACTACCATTCGCATAAACGTAACGTTACTTTGTGCAGTTGCAACTCCTGTCAACTGGAGTGCGTCTGCCGGTGTTACGGTTGATGTAGGGCGTCTGCCTTGTGACCCAGAAGTTAGTGGTTCGGATCTGCGTAGATGCGGGCGACGTCTCAGTGTGTACCTATACCGCGCGCCACTGGTAGTGGTCACGTGACACTGAAGCGTCGGTGTGTTTCTTTTCTTTTCCCCATCTAGGATGGGAATACCAACCGGACAGTCAGGTACTTTAGCATTGCTTTTTCAGTATAAGTTTTATGTACCCAAGAAGATGCATTTTCAACATTTTACATTATCATCTATAAATTTACCAGAGTTACCATTTGAAATGCTACGTTTACATATGGGTAGAAAAATGAGGACGCACTGTCATAGATCGATCGCGCAACGACCCCAACAGGCTGGATTAACTCTTCGGGATTGGTATCTATTGAAAACGGAAAAGGTTTCATAAAAATGTTTCTTCAGAATTCGTTTTAATTGAGGTGGAATTTTGTGTCCAAAGGCAACTCGATCGGGGATCGTGCGCGATTTCTCGCGTGTATATTCTAAGTTGGATGGATTAAAGGGTCTGTGACCTTTAAACTTGATTTAACAAGATATCTGTCAGCGTAATCTTGCAATACTGATTTATATACATTAGCTAATGTAAAATTGATGTTCGACGAAAAAGGCAACGGCCGATTTAAAGACCCCTTCACTGCTTGGGCTTCAACGGTTCCATCAATTTGTGTCGGTACACCTAACAGATGAGTAGAATAGTGGTGACTCACCTCGAAACGGACACTGATAGTGAATTAACTTTCTATTGATTTTCGTCAATCTGAGAGTGTTTTACTCTTGGCCGGACGTTCTACTGTCGTTTTTTGCGTAGGGACAGAATTTTGCCCAAATTTCTGACTCAATTTTCCGCGCTTCGAGTTCACATGTTTCGCGTCTAGAATCGCATCAACCCTAAGAACATCTGTCTGCATATATACTTATGTTTTGCAATATACAGCAGGAGATTATACATGCGAATGAACGATTTTTTACTGCATTTTTTCTGTAAACGTGAGGCAATGCAGCCCCCTTGTTTACTACTCTTTGTTGTGGCTCACCGTTTTCTTTATTTTCTTTTAACCTTCCACGACTTATTTTTTCTTGGTGGAAAATTTGTTTTGCATCGTCAGTGCGTTCAACTTGTCTATATACAGGGCATTCAATAGCTTTTACGTGAATCCACGCTGGTAGCTTGTTTTGCTTAAGCGATGTGAGTTTCAACAATAGCGCTTTCTCATCCTTAGTGTTGGAGAAGCTGTTTATAAGCTTGCTCAGGGACCTCATGCCATCAGATTTCCTGCCCGCATCACGACAATAATCCATAGGGCCTAACAATAACCTACATCTACGCTTTGTCTTCAGTCCTCTTTTACACGCGTTACTGCTGCCCTATGCCATCAACGAGGTAAGCTCGTTGAAGATGGGTCATTTTATCTTGCAATCGGTTTTTACTGGTCTTATGATTAGTACCTGTTTAGTCCGATTCAACGCGACTGTTCAGAACCCGGCCGGCGCCACTGGATGCTACAGAACCTCAGCACAGCACCCCAGCAACCAATGTGACACTCCTGCATCGCAGGCTTTGCACAGTATTTGTGCCTGCGGTGGAGAGAATCGTAGTCATCTTTCATCCTGTAGGATGGTGAAATTAAGTTAGCTTTTTCTTCCCTTCTTATAGCATATGCTGTGCTACTCAAGAACGAGTGACTGTTCCATTCCGACACAGTATTCGAACTACCCGATTGGGGAAAAATTTCTCGATGCAACGTCAAAGTGTTTGCCTCACAATTTGCGTTTCTCGAGCCGCCACATGATTCTAACATCCATAGTCACACCAAAATGTTTGCCTTCCTCTTACTCAAAAATTTTGGCTATATAAGTTCAGATCCGTCCACCGAAATATCGCCTACTCAACGAAGCAAGTGGGTGATTGCTTTTGCATTCTGGGCATTCTCCTGTCCTCGTGATCCTGCTGCGGGTGTGAGCTATCTATGTATTCTGTGACCGATATGATCATGTGTTCTTCACTTCACTTCGGAGCATAGCCACCTGCTGGCACAGGGTATAGTCAATCAACGCAAGACTACATTTTTGATCGCCAAATAGCGTTACACCGCTCCTCATTTTCGGAGTGTACCATATGCAACATATTTATTCTTTTTCTCCGACCAGTAGCTGTTGATAGGAGACGATCCAGTCCTTGAGCATGAACGGTTTTCCAGACGTAACCGCCGAAATCACGTTTCCCGTCTACTTGTTTCTCGTTACCATCAAATGATTTTGTGGTATCAGTCAGGCTCATTTCATTATGGCACATGCACTTGTTTCTCCGTGCCAGACATCGCCACTTCTCTGTACATCGTTAGTTTTTAGCTACACTTTTACTTGAAACTGGCTTCACTATTTACGCCGTAGATTTTTTGCCACTATACTGCCTACTTCCACAGTCCTCTCGGCTACTGTGAGTTGCCCTCCGGAAGTACCATTCGACGGTGTAGCCTTTAGAGACCAAAGGAACTCATTTTCTACATCTTGTTGTTGTAGAGACTTGAATTGCCCTCTTTCCTTATGGCGCAGCCTTGAAGGACGATGATTTGCGGTCTACGTAGTACCTGAAGGACACTGTCAGCTTCTGACGATGAGATGTGTGCCTCTCTCCGAGATAACTCATACGCTTCCTGTTGATTCCGATCTATCAATCTGTCTTTTGTGAGCCCTTGTCTCACGCTCGTCTCAGACAGAGCGTGGTCGTTTTTCTGCCGCTCCTGGAACATCCATGCTGGGGCATGCTATGGCTGTCCCACCGACTTGCGTGGATATGTCGACAATATACGCGTTATAGGAGTGTAAAAAGATCGATATTAAATCGTTCCTGCAATCCTCATCCCCGTCAGTGTTACTTTTTCAGGCTTAGGCTGCATATGCTTTGCATGGGCTATGCGGTACAATTCACCCACGTTTTCTCTTTGGACTCAGACCCCCCATCGCATTTCCCAGACTCAGCGACATAGTAAGCTGGAAACGGATGCCGTCAATCAAACCACTTTCTACTGGATGCAGATCATATTCTGGGTGCTCTTATCTCTATTGTTTGACGCCTGCTTTTGAATGCCTAAGCTACCAATCGAAAGCTTCGCATTCGAAGGTACTAGGCGCTAACATCTCCTCTTAATCTGTCTGCTGTTGGTTCGAACAATTTTCATTAGCCACTTTCTCCACAACTTTATCTTTGTACTATTGTAGCGATACCATTACCGGGCTCTTTGGGACATTTTTTAGTGTTCGATGATCATACTAGCTTGAGGGCTGAGATTTGTCTGCCGCTCATGTATTCGAAATGAATGATTTTATGACGCTTTTTTGGGTATTTTATTTTTGTTGTAGTTACATTCTGTCGGAATAGGTCGACTATGGTTCCACATTATTTTCCACTGCTTCTCATTCAGATTTTTCAACTAGCTAATTCTTATTCGATCGGCCGCTTTGTACTAGGTGTCACTCCAGCGTCATCTGTTCGCTACTTTCCCTCTAATTCCCCTCTTACTATACGGCTGTGTGAAGTGATTACTTCCAACATCTTTTTTGCTCATAGCATCTCGGCTCAGCCATAATATGCGGCAATTTTTGATCACATGGCATTCACTCTGCTCATCGATAGTTCCATAAAAATGCGTCTCTGTACCTCTAACCTCATTTTTGCTTCCAGGTGGATTGCTCATTTTGGCGACGAATTCTATCATCTACATGAAACAGACCCTGCCTTCATGCGGGCTCCCGCTGAATTGCTTCGCACAGACGGCCACAAACTTTCCAATGCGTGAGTTTGAAATTTATCCTTCTTTTTGTCACCTGTTGTCATCTTCGGTTGTGTAGAGCTTTGAGTTCAACCACATTGCCATTGTCTGACTGTTCTACTGTGTGGAGCCCGCACGATTCCCTGTGTTTGATTGGAAGAGAAGTTGCGTTGACACTAGATGCCGTTTTATAACCAGGCCGTCGCCTGTTTAGCGTTCATGCGATACTGGGTTCTCTTCTAAACGAGATGACGTTGAAATAGATCCGCGAGAAAAATGTACTGTTGACACCGCTTTGTTTTTACATGCTGCATTTGTTTGTAACCTTGTGGTATTGGTAGTTACAACTGCGTTTACTAAGCGTTTTCTCAGGGCACTAAGATTTTACAGTAGGTTATCTTCCTCCTTGATTCTTAGTAATGGGGTTGTTGATGGCAGCGAAGCATTAGTATGAATTATTGGTGTCCACGTGTCTTTGATTCGTATAAGGGTCGAGCAGTGCGATTGACTACGTGCTTATCTCACCAGTAAACGGCCTTTACTTTCTCATCAGGAAACCATTTTCTGCTATATCACCTTCTGTCGTTACGCTTCACTGGTTTGCCCACTTGTGTGTGTTGTCTTAATGACTTGTATCCGTCTGGGACGTTGTTATAACGACTGTTGCTCAATCTGATGCTGCTGAGGCGGTGCAAGTCGCCTGGCACCTTACTCTTGTTTTTTGCTGAGCGACAATGACCACATAGTAGTGACTGGTTCGGATCAATTCTACACCATTTGCTCAAGGAGCAGGTAACTTTGCCCTTCGTTTGTCATCCACTATTTCTCTGCTTGCAATGAGCGTCTTGTTGCTATCAGCTGGATGGTTTTCGTATCACCACCGTCTTAAGATAACTTTCCTATTGGATATTTCAGTGGCCCACCAATCCGCCGGAGAATCGGCTCACTTAAAGCTACTCTGCTGTTTGCGATGATGAAGTTTGTTGATTACTTTGTTACTTTCTCAATTCTAATCATGTGAACGGCCAGTCATGGTTGTCTTTCTTGACTTTAATGCTCATTTCAGCCGCATCTGTTCGTGACGCCGTCTATTCTTAAAGGGCATCTAGCGGAATTTCTTCTCATCTAATTGCCTTCATACTACGCCTCACAGAGCCACTTACTAGTCTACGGAAATCTCTTTCCCTATTCGCCACTTCAAGCGGGGTTCCTAAGGGCTGTCCAGTTTCTCCACTTCTCAACCTTTTTGATCGGGATAGCCACGCATGACACTGATCTCCTTTCTGGATGTAACTGTCCTTGGGTCAGATCCAAATGCTGTGCTGACACACCTTCACATGCGTTTCCTGAGGCTCCTTTGGACTACATTGATACACCTATGTTCACAGTCATTGAGCAGTTAAGTGAAGTGGTCTATTGTTAAGCTCAACTCAGTAGGGTCGTCTGGGATTAAATGGTTTTATGATCCTATGTCATGTGTAATGACGGTAAAACTCCGGTCCATCGGCCTAGTGTACAGTGTGCAACGTGACTATGCGGCTTGCCTTGCTCTACGGATCAACCACTTCACTGCTACCGGTCCTTCATGGAAGAACAATCGATTTGGCAAAGGGGGATCAACGATACAGATGAACTTGTGGTCCTTACAGAAATATTGTTACACTACATCCAAAAATGTTGACGCTGATGCGCTTTCCATAGTCATCATGACGCTGATGTCGTAGCTTATAACAAACTTTGATCCAGCCAAATAATAACCGCCGAAGATGCTGTTTTTACCAAACGTTGTAGACCAGTAAACAACATGGTGGTTCAAGGACTATACCTGGGAAGTGCAATGCTAATCCGTCCTTCTGGCATCCGAGTGATTGACTGGTTTGTTTCCGACATTATCTCTGTCCACTTCGCTTGGTTGTACTTATCACAAGCGATATGATCATTGCGTGGGAAGTCACCAGTCGTTTTTCTGTCATCGATGTTTGCAGGCCATCTTTCACCAGTTGGTGTTGATTCTGCGTTGGGGTATCTTTTAAATTAAGATCATCCACGCTGGTTGAATCATATCGCTTACATATCTGACATCAGATAGCGCAGTGGCATTGCTTGTCAATCCTGTCACTAATTGCGTTTAGATCTCGAGATGTCTATTACATGGCGTGGTAAATTATTATGAAGAGCGATCGAAAATTTCTCTTGTCTTCATTTATTGAGAACTCAAACCGGATCTGGCGCAGTCACGTGATCACTGACTTATTTCTGGTGTGCAATCTAAACCAGAGCACTGGTTCTGTGATGAACGTAGCAGTCGATGGTAAGCGAATCTAGCATTATTGTTTGACGCACTAAAGATAGCCACTTGTCTACGCGGTTCAACCTACTGCCTGACTACTTCTGACCAGACTACAATGTGCTTCTTGACTGTGTCATCAGGAGTACGCCGGTACATTGTACCGACGCTTCGCTGCCACGCGACCACCACCGGTTGCGCGTGGGCTTATCCCGCGACGACGCCCGCCCCTACGCGGTTTCCAACCGGTGACTAGAGGATTGCAACTCAGAAGTCCAATCCTTCCGGCCACCGGCCGACTGAGTCAACGCCAAAAGCGTTTGTTTTAATGCGCAACCACGGAGTCACTGTTTCCCAATGCAGCACAACAACATCTTTATATTACAAGCATCGGATCACTGTATGTCAAAACAATATGACAGTCGCTGAATAAATTTGTTCCAGCAGAATCGGCTTTGGGTATGAATGACATCTCTGTATTTGGTTCTTTGCCGCAATCTCTTTACTCTTTTTCAGGAACATTTCAATGTTATTGTCAATTCTATAGCTGACCCTCCTTCTTCCTTTAATTTTCAACTTGTTCACATTTTCAACTAACAAATTATACCACGACACCTTCCGCGCACGTACTGGACTCAATCAACTGGACTGAGTCGAACTGATTTCATGATGATAATAATATTAATCCTATGAAGTATAAGACGTGTTCGAGTGAACCTATTCCGATCATAATGTACAGGTTTCCCTCAAAACTTATTGCAAACTGGTTGTGTATCAATTGCAAAGAATTTTTGGTTCAGTTTGCTCTCTGATACCAATCAAATATTTCCCTTGAAAATGCTTGCTTCGTTCATGATAAGCTTCACATCATAACGTCGAACGAGTCGCGGTTCCAAACACTGTAACAAAGTTGGATGAATATCCTCAGGCCTTAATGGCATCCAATGCTATTAGCCAAGTGTCAGTGCAGCAAACTTGCTCGATTTCCGGATTTTATCACAATTTGAACTACGCCATGTGCTCTTCCCCCACTGCTTACATCATCTTGACTCCTACAATTTACTGTAGTACTCTGGCTCCACCATAGTTTTTGTAAATGTAATTGTGCTGCGTTGGCCGTAATGTTGTAAGATCGAAAGTTGTCTTTTTTCAACAAACTTGTTTACTTGTTTGTTTAGTCGACCGCTCACAGTGAGTGACATCGCACGTTCGCATCTGCAAATTCCGCTTGCGATATCCGGCTGCATGATGTTCTCGTTTAGTGTCTATGGTACATTAACAAACTCGTCAGCTGGAAAGCGAGTGTCGATTTGAAAGTGGAAGTAAGCTAGGAGAGCCGGCTGTGCTCGTGCCAAGACGCACGTGATTTCTTTATAGTAACGACTTGATCATCTTGTGATCACCGCATTTCCTTTGAATGTGACTCCACAGCCTGCCACATGGCACCATTCTTCCCTCAACACTCAAGTGCCCAGTGAATGTGGTTGCTGATGTCCGTATCCAGACTGACCTCTTGTCTCAACAGCGATCAATGAACACGTGCCTGTCGTGTTCAACTCTTGAGTGATCCCGCTCATGGTCCATTTCGTTTCTAAATATGCTCTTTTAATGTTAACTGTAACGAACATGATTTGACAAAACGCAAACGGCGTCATCTGAGATGATGTTCACATTAACAATCAGAGGGATTCTAACCCGCATGAGCGCACAACTGCTTCGTCCATCGTTAACTACTGCAATAACGCGTTCAGGTTGGCAGTTGTAGGGATAATTTGCTCGCCTAGCTGACCGACTGGGTTGCACTCGTTTCACCACTAATCATGCTAGTAACATCAGGACGTACTAGCGAATAGCTTGTTAACAGTAACTGAGCTACAGGTAACTCCGGGATTACTTGATGTTCATTGCTAACAGGCTACTTGCTACTGCGGACTGAAGTTGCTGCCTCGATTGTTGCTGAAACATCTGCTACCCAATTGCTCAGCACATCAGTTAATTTCTATTCAGCCACAATTTGATCTTGGTTTCTGTTTCTTGGAATATGTTTAAACCTGATCTGGAATACATTATTATAGAAGGCATTCTAAATGACTGGTTAACCTATTTGTTGTGCATGCGACGTTTCCGTTTTGACACAAAAGCCTGATGCACTTTGCCTTATCCTGACTTCTTCGCGAGAACAACGTTCTCCATTCTACCGGGTGCCGTCTTCATAACACAGATGCCGGATCACACAATGCTTTCTGTCCTCACCGTTACTATTTTGAACTCTAGGTATTATTGGTTTGCAAATATATTCTCGTTCTTAGACCTAGTGCAAGAAAACTTTGGTGTTACGCATCACGTCGTTTTCGTCCAAAACACACTGTTTTCTTTTAAGGATTCTCCGCCGACGGAACTTCACCAGAGTTTGGACTTAGTTATCTTCGAATGTTAAACATTTTTCTTTTTGAGTTTACCCAGACGTCAGTCAACCTGGATTTCTTTTCACTTTACCCCCTTTTCAAAATGCCTAATGTTTCCCTCATAGCCAGTATCCATTGCATCCCATATTTGTTCATACCGCCGTTTGACCCTGGTGTCATTATACTGTGACAACCGGGGCCAATCACAATGAGATTGGACCTTAACGTGTTGCGACGGCTTGCGTATCACCTTGACCCACTTAGCTATACTGGGTGGTGCACCTGGGCGCCTTGAGAGCTACTCAGACCAGGTTGATCAGTGGTTATAAGTCTGATAAATTCATTCTCCTTGTCCTTGGTGGTTTAAAATGGGATGGCGTCCATTTAAATAAAAATAAATCATTGCCACCCCTAGCCTTGCGGACAGGCTTTTAAGCCAGAGGCTTTGGTTGAGGACCCTAATCGTCCTCCTGTCTGGGTCTTGGCACCCTGGCAGTATCCCAGCCCACATACAACAATGACAATTTCCCCAAACTCGAACTGCCGTCGCGCAGATTATCAAGGGTCGCCATATCTGCTGCACACATCAGGGCGGATAAGCGCAAACATGCTACTGCTCGCGCCTCCCTTCTTTCTTTTCCACCCGTTTCTTACTTCCCTTCCAACACCCAGTACTAACCTTCCTTCTATGCTTCCCAGTTCATTTGAGAGCGACCGACGTGCCACTGGAGTAGGACCGTCTGCAGCCACCTACCCACACCACCCACCGGACGCCTATCGGCAACAGTCCCTTATAGGGCCACGCTGTCCCGTTTCCCTGGCGGCGTTCAACGTTCGCACCCTAAGACATCGGTCAACAGGCTGAACTAGCACGCATGTTGGATACACTGGGTATTGCCATGTGTCGTGTATCCGAAGCTAAGATCAATGACCCTAATGGAGTTGTTGAATTAACTGCGCCTGGCTTGTCCTCTCGCTGTTTGTTGCACTCATCCAGAGACGCTGATGCAACACTCACGGATCCACCTGGGGTAAGGTAACATTATCATTTCCAAGCCAGAGCCATTATTGGTTGATTGGATTTCGGTGAGCAGCCGTTTGTATGCAGCCCGTTTGACGACATCAACTAAGGCCGATTCACGAAGTAATACAAAACACTCTTTGTTTGGGATTTCCGCTTTTGCTCCCGCCGACTGCAGTTCTGATGCTGCCGAGGACGCATTCTATCATGAACTGAACGCGCTACAACACAGTGCTACTAGTTCAGATATGATATTACTTGCAGGGATATGAACGCACAAGTAATATGTCTGATTTCTTCCGAAGCTCAGCTAGGTGTCCCTTGTGGGCTTAACTCCGAACGGACTGACGACGGCAACTGTGTGCGGAGTACTAGCTGTTTCTTAGTATCACGGCTTTTAGACACATGGGGCGCCGAAGTGCCACTTGGCGTCCTCCTGTAGCTGGCCAGCGATGGACCCGAATGGATCACATTGCCATAAGTTACAGGTGGCATAATCCCATTCTGGATTACCGCTCGTTCTGGAATACCTCCCTGGACTCCGATCATGCCTTGCTACGCTGTCGTTTCTTCATGAACTTTAGCGAGAGGCCCACCAAGCGTCTCCCTCCAGCCGATTGGCCACTGAGAAATTGTCTCAGCCCTCAGTTAGGCAAGCATACCAGTATGCACTGCGTGCCGAACTTTCGCTATCTTATCCTAATAACACTGAGCTTCAGTAGACTTGGATCTCGGCCGCCTTGCACGACACAGCAGCCTCTGCTTGTGGCACTATCAATCGTCACCGCACCAGTCACTGGATATCTGAGAGGTTTGTGAGCCTGTTAGAATCCAGAAGTAACCTCCCGGCTGGCTCTGACCGCAATGTGACCAGAGCGATTAGTAGGCGAGAACTAAACCGGAGTCTGTCGGCCGGTGACCGAGTGGTCTGCGCGTTTGGTTTGCAACCATAAGGTCATCGGTTTGAATCCGCGTTGGGGTGGGCGTCCTCGCGGTATACTCAGCCCGCGCGCGACTGGCGGGTGTCGTGCGGCAGCGAAGCGCCGCTACGGCGTACAGCTGACACCTTATTATTATTATTTAAACCGGAGTCTGCGTGCTGACTAGGAAGCGTGGTGGAACACTCGGACTCGAGAAATGGAGAAGGCAGGAGCAGTTGCTCCACACCGTTGGTCCCAGGAAACCAGATGTCGGTGAGACATCAGAAACAGCTCCGTATGGCTCGTTGGGCGGAACACTTTCAAGATCAGTTTTCTTGTCCCTCTGCTTCTGGACCTCATCCTACTCAGGTTATGCAGGACGAGGCATGGTCGGTTAGTTTAGAAGCTCAATCAGAGGGCGAGGTCCGAAATGTGATCGCAGCCCTCAATCGTTCTGGTGCCGCTGGCCCGGATTCCCTCCCATCTGCGCTACTTAAGGGTAGAGGTGAGGTCATCTGCGAAGCACTGGCCTCTCTATTTGAACTTATCTGGAAGGAAAAGTGTCTTGGCTAACTGGAGTGTATCAATCATAGTAGTACTATACAAAATGGGTAGTCGCACAGACTGTGCTAATCACAGCCATATTAGCCTAACGCCAGTTGTGACGAAATTTCTGGCCTTGATTCTCTTTCTTCGCCTCACCGTGGAACGGAGAATCTCGGATTAGGGAAGAGCAGGCTGTATATAGGCTGTGTATAGGCTCTGTATATTCGCTTTGCGGCAGATGTTAGAGTATTGCCACGCACACCGCGGACCGATAATAGCTGTGTTCCATTCAGTCGATCAATACATTCTGTTCGTAATACTTAAGCGGTAAGATGTTCCCACGAAATACGTGAACATCTTACCTGCTCTATATTCGAACATTATAGGTCGTGTCAAGGTCTACGATGACCTGTCGGATAGAATTCCATCCACAAGTGTCGTTCGTCAGGGTTGCTCTATTTCCCCGTTTTTCAGTTTCGTAGTTTATTCCATCATGTAATCTCTCGATGCAGGCCATGAGGTCCTGTCTGATGAAATGTTTGTTGATTCTGATTGTGCGGACGATATCGTCTTTCATTTTGACGATATTGGGGCGGCGCTGTAAAGCCTGAATAGCATCTATACAGTGGTCCCATTCTGTGATATCGCTTCTCACCTTCAAAGGTCAAAATGTTGCTATAGTAGCACCAGCCACTTGATGACCACTTGACCCTTGATAACGAGGAACTCGAGGTGGTCGGTCGATTCACTTACCTTGGCAGCTGCATCAGCAACGGTGGGCGCGCAGAAGCTGCAGCGAGTTCACGCATTGCAAAAGCTAGAACTGCCCTCTTGAACCTGCGGCATTTTTGAGGAAGGAAGGGAGTCTCTCAGTCTGAAAGCTCGTGTATACAAAGCCACAATGAGGGCCGTCCTGGTGTATGGTAGTGAGACTCGGTCCCACCAGTCTGAAGTTCTGAGGCGTCTTCAAGTCTTCGCTCATCGTTGTCCGCGAAGCATTGCTGGTGTCGGGAAGCGGCAGCGTACCCGCAACGATGATGTTTGTAGGTGGGCATTAAGCAGTGGTAACTAGTCCAGGACCTTATAACAACAGATAGCGCTTAATAAGTTACGTTGGCTTGGGCACATACTACGTATGCCTGGTCACCGCTTACCTAGGAGGGTGTTGTTTAGTCTGCGAGGTGTAGGGTGGCACAAGGCTCTATGTGGACAAAAGTTGACTTGACAGCGTGAAATGAAGTTACTGACGACCAAATTGGGTGCCATCGGTCCGTCTGGCCTTCTAGGATGTAGTCCACGTGGCTCGCCTTGAGCTTGGTTTGAGACTTTACAGGACATGGATTGCAGTCGACAACTGGCGCGTCTGCTGCCGTCTCGTATTCGGACTGCGTGCTTTAAGTGTGTTTGGTGCAGAGTTATCAGCGTAGTAATGGCTGATTTTGACGCGGGACAATGAAAGCTGCTTGGAACCTGTTTTGCTGATCCTGCCTTATCTTTGCACGATTTCCAGCTCTTTCTGACGGTAATCTGTCTACATAAGATGTAAGCGCCTTGACCCTGCATGTTTGCCTTAGGGCATTAAGGTTTTCTGGTAAGTCCCCCTTCTCTCCCTATTATTATTTTCTTCATTCCATAGGTCGTCATGGTTGTATGGCAGCGAAGCATCAGTTCAAATGGCTGATGTACTGCTGTTGTTGATGATGGCAACTATAGCGCAGTCGAGATGGACTGTCACGTCTTTCTGTATTCTTGTGGCACATTTCTCTTTGTTAGTCCACTGATCCCACTTGCCTACCTCGTTTAGGCCTTTTTGGGGAAATTATGCGTTTTTCTCCTCTTGTAGGTACAATCAATCCTTCTCCACTGTTGGACGCTTAGTAGTTTTTCATTACGTTATAGGCTTTATTTCCAGTGATCAGATACAGGTGCATTTTATCTTTGCTACTCGTCGTATTTGGTAGTCCGGAAAATTTTTCGCTTGAACTTGGAGCACATCAGCTTTGCCCAGCTGGTGGTACCGAGTTCTCTCCGCAGGTGTGACGAAAGAGCGTGTGCTTCATAGCCATAAACCTGACGCCACTTGATGCTCATTTCTGTACTGTGGTGGTGTACTTTTGCACTCTCAGCTTCTTGAACATTACAGCTCCATAAATGCCATCCGAGTTACTTTGACACCTAATCGAAACTCATCCTTGTCCTATCCACTCCATCTTTTCCTTCAGGTCAAGAAGTTCCCCAATGCGGCCCGTTGACACTTGATGGTTGCTGTACCTTGTCCCTGACGGACTCTCAGTTTCTCCTAGTTACTCGGACAGGAAAGTTGTGTTTGCTCTCCTTGTGGGTAGAGCAGACCACGCAATCTGTTAGCAGTTTGTTGCTTCACGAAATCGGCACTGCTGTTCCGCCACGCTGTGTACGTTATGTGTGCCTTCTTGCACAATGCCGTTTGTGTATGTCTTGCGTCGATCTTCTTGTTCACAATGATCTCTCTCTGCTAGCTCCATTATTTACGGCAGCATTTGTTTACTGCGATCTTTCTGCAGTTTGTTGATTTGCCGGACCCTGCAACCGTTTTTTGTGTGCTTGCTTTTCTGTTGGTTGTGAAACAGTCTCCTTATGGTCATTTCCAGAGGATTACAGGGGAACGAGAACCGCCAGTCAGAACATGCTAAGTAACTTGGAAGACTTTCATTATCGGCGTTTGAGGCTCGCCTCCTTATCTTCTCTTATCGATTACGCTGTGCTGATTTTATCTCTTCGCTACACCCTTACGCAAAGCAAAATCCTACTGTTAATTCATCCACCACTTCTAACCGAGAGTCTGGGGCTCGGATGCTCCATGTCACAGCTAGGATCTTAATTCATCGCTTCGTTAAGCCAATTTTCTTTTAAGCTAGGTGGACCTGTTCTGAGCACGGTATTATCGTTTTCGAACAATTATAATGCTGATAAATTCATCCTTGAATTGAACGGCTGTCAATTCAAAGCAATCACGTTGACTTAGTTCGCTTCATCTGAGTAACTATTCTCCGAATCCGAAAATATGGCGACTCTTCTCACCTTAACACCTTACCGCGATATCACCGACACCAGGGTGAAGTGTGTGAACAAGTGCGAGATTGCGTGTAACCATAGGGGTCAGTGAAAAGTATTTTACACTGATGAATTGCAAAGGCTGTCTGGCGGAAAGCGGAAGACTCGTTTACTCAACACCTATGTTATTTTGGAGAATTCTTTTAATTGTTGTTGCGGCCAATCGTTGAAGTAGTCTACATCGTAGACTACGGCAGACATCAGCCTAACAGCATCCATCAATAAGCTCGTTAACATATCTTCAGTACGTTCTGGGTTACCTCATGTAATTTTACCCAATCTGGCGTAGTTCTTAAAAGCGAATTATGGTTAACGCACACAAAGCACATGATCTAACCAGCGTAAGCCGTTCAGTTGTAAACTGCGGTCAAAGAGTTTGTCTCTAGACACATTCTGGTTAGCCCCAGTTTTGATCAGTCGGTGTTCCCATAAAATATGAGGGATATTTCACAATCAATACTGGGTACATATGTTCGGTTTCTCGGTGGGTTCAGAGAGCATCGGCATTTACCTGCTATCGCATTGTTCCCCTGAGAGTTTGGCGTTTTAACTTGCCACACATGGATGTGCACAGTAACTCTTTTAGCGTTTCGGCCATCAGTTATGCAGCGACTAGCTAGACGAGTGAACCGACCCTCCACTTCTAGTAGCTGTTGAATGCTTCCTTAGCGATGTTTTAAACTTTATACCGTCAAGTCATTTGTTGAAGGGTGCATCATCATTTGACATTCTATTCAATCTAGCTTGTACAGAGGCTGATTCCCTATCCCAAGAGAATTGCTTAGCCTGCTTACGCTAATTTTGTCAGCTTATCATGTGACGGAAGCAACACTCCGGCAGCTACAAACATGAGTGCTATTCACGCCATTTGCGCTCGCAACGTTGGGCACGAAGATTGATGTGTCCGAATAGTTGTGGGACATTTTCATGAGTGTTCCCTACAAACTTTAACACAGTATAGCGAGTTTTCAGGATGGAAGGGAACTTCTGCGATGCACTTCCTCAAGCGAGGTCGTACCGCATGTTATTGCTATCAACTGAACCATAAATGACCGACAACCCTAACTCGAACACAATGACGGACAGTTCTCGTGTACGGCACAACCTCTGAATTTTCTAAGTGTGATCACATACTTTATTTGTCAGTGCGTTCGCCAGACGGAATTCTACTGATTTCGATTTTCTGTGGTACCAGTTAGCTATCGTAGTAGAGCGCGACAATTTGACCAATGCCTCACGCACTCGTCTAAATTTATGTGACTTTTTGTGGATGGAGAAGCTGGCTGATAACCGCCATTCGAAAACATTCTTCTGTGTTTTGTTTGAGGTTGTATGGAGTGGTAGGACCGATCACAACCCAATTCTACTATCTCTTGAAAACCGAAAAAGGCTGTCCTTTTCGGGCCTCTTGTTTCGTTACGACAGAGTAACCTCTGTTCGGATCTCTTGAACTTCGGGGATGTGAAATAGTACAAATTTTGCGACTCATTAAGCCCAAGGATCAACTCTTCACATTGTTCTACATAAAACGTTTAGGCCACTGACCTGAAAATGAGCTAGTAATCTGGCTTTCTCACATCTTATCGCGTTCACTAGTTTTTTTCCTGGACGTGCTTCGGATGGCTATAGATAGTCTTCGATTATTCTTAACGGTATTTATCCCATGGGAGTCAGTACGAATAGTCACTAGCTTTTTCATAACGCTACTTCGAAACCATTCCTTCTACCTACATGTGCATCTCTCTTTTAGCTCCAAGTCGCAGCAACAGCAGCAGCAAATCTTATTCATGTACTTGCTTTTCGTACCATTTGGTGCACCTGGTAGTTCGCTCAACCACTCGCCTTGTTGGCAAACAATATATGTAGCGGGGATTGTGGTACACGCGTCAATACCAATCTAGCTGATTTAATTTTAACAACAAATCCAATCTGCACCAAATGGCCCAATTTCAGACTCCAGCCGCTTGAACTCTACCTTATTCGCTCACTTGCCCGCCTAGGTATAAGCATTGCTCTATAGGCGCTGGTTCTTAGGGACAAACAGCGCCTCTAAGCTTTGAGCCCGAATTGTCTACCTCCACATTCCCCGCGGCGCTGTTCTCAATACTACAGTTTTCGTGTATATGTCAGTCTGTTACTATTTCCATGGCTGCCGGTAGCTTTGATACATTATACGATTCCAATCCGTTACTTTGTTCCAAACGCCCTATTGCTCATCGGGTCCATCTTTGCCTTGATTGTTAGTATGTGTTTTCAGCAACAGATGTTTCCGGACATCTATTCTACTTCTGAGCATTTCTCGCGTGGATTCCCGAAACCTCTATCTATTGCTGAGGCTATCTGTACGTATATTACTCTAAAGTCCGAGAAACTGTCCCTCGAATGAGAACAGGTTAATACATGCATAAATGTTCATGTTCTTTCAAGAGCGAATATTGATACGATTTTCGCTTTCTAAATGTTTTTTTTTGATCCATCATGGAATATTTCCTCATGTTATTTGTCGGATGAGAACATGGATATTACCATTACTAGATCAACGAAACTATCGATTTTGGCGTGAAATGCCTTAGGGTTTGCACCTGCCCTGATTGCGATGTGCAGCTTCTTCCATAAGACGGCGTATCTGATGCGAAACTAGTTAGAGCGCACAATTCTTCCAGCCTTTGTTACGCTTAGCGTATGGTTTTTGTAGCAGAATCGTCGAGGACAATTTCGCTTCATCTTTAAGTTAGGCAGGTAGGAGTACCTTTTTTGATGCAGCAAAATGTGCAGGAGTATCAAGTTCTGCTTCCGACATCGCAGTCATAGGGGCTGGGTGTGAAGTTGCTTTACAACGTTCACTTTAGTCGGGGGTAGATGTGCCACTGAACAAACCTTTGTTGCTTGACTGTAAATTTTCCACGGATTTATCACGAGCATACTTATATATATATATATATATATATATATATATATATATATATATATATATATATATATATATATATATATATATATATATATATATATATATATATATATATATATTACAATCTATGCACAGATTTTGTGCCATCGGATCCATGACGAAATCGGAAAGCATAGTTAGAAGAAAGAAAGCTACTTTTTGTCCATTTTCCTACTCACAGTTTCTGTGTTTTTTGGGCTGTGTTTTCAATTAGTGGAGGAAATGGTAATCACCACAACAAGCAGAGATACAGGACCGCCACCGAGTTCGCTTTTGAGCCATGACTTCCAAGGTTTCCAACCAGCGGCACTCAGAACCTTTTGGGACCCTATCCAGGGATTCGAGGGGAAGCAACCGAGGCCAGCTTTTTCATCCTACTTCTCCAAGTTGTAGTCTGGCCACCACACCGTCTCCTCCAGCCTTGTCCAGCGACCGCGAACAAGCCACGACGCGGAAGACGCTGAACGGGCATGCACAGTGCGTGTCCAAGCCATCGTAGTTGGCGCAGCGAGATATGCACGTCGAGGAAGTGGCTGCCTCCGCCCAAAGCGCGCTGTCTGACTTCAACGTTGGTTACGTGATGTAGCCACCACACACGGGCGATGGACCGCAAGCAGCGGTCCTCGAAGTTAGAAAATGGGCGTAGGTCATCGATACGAACGGGCCATATCACGCAACCGTATAACAGTACAGCGCGGACGATCGCACTATAAACCCGCCCTTTGATTGAGGGACGGATGTCATGGCGGTGCCATAAATGTCAGCCTGGAGAAAGCGAGGCGAGCTATTGAGATGCGCATCAAAATCTCGTTTCCAACAGCTCCACCAGCGGTGCTGCAACTTCCCAGGTAGACGAAACTTTACAACTTCCAGCGTCCCACTCTCGATGGTGATTGCAGGTAGGGGCGTCTGCCAGCCTTGAAAAAGCGCTTTTCACATGGATGGTGAAAAGTGCGTGCCATACTTCGACGCTTCAATCGCCAGACTATTAAGTACTAGTTGGACTGACTGCGGACCGTTCCCCAATAAAACGATATCATCAGCGTAATCAAAATCAACCACCTGACTCACTGGGAGGAGCTCAACGCCAGCGTTCAACAAGCCTGCGAGAACGTTTTTGAGGACATCCTCATTGGCAGAATTGGTGGGGAATAGAGAGATAGAGCATTCTTGTCGAACCCCACTGGTGACAACAAAGGAAGGCGAAAGCTTGCCATAATCCCAAACTCTACTCGAGGTTAGACTATACGGAGTACGCAGAATGGAAACGAACTTCCCGGAAATACCATTCCTCAACAGACGGTGCCACAATGCAGGCCTGTCGACAGAATCGTAGGCAGCACGGATATACAGGAACACAACAATCGTTG